CTTTGGTTCACTGGACTTTTAAGGAGAAAATACTCAGCAATGGTGTTGTCTTATGAATTTGCACATGGTTCAAGCATATTACAAACACCACATAGATGTATAAACGACATTAAAAACATGATTTTCACCACAGGGGGACTTGTAAAAAATAATAATTGACATTTATATTTATTTTTCTATCTATATTAGTTGTTGCCAAGAGTAGTATGTGTCTACACTAAATTGCTCTCTTATATAAATCACTCTTCATGTTTTGTCTGTTACACCAACAGTTTTTTCCTGTTATCTTATCTAGTTGCCATAATGAAGTACATTGGCACAAATGACTAATCTTGAGACATGAATTAACTCATTTATGAATGTTAATTCATATTTCACACATTGCTTATTATGGCCCTGTTTACACCTGGTATCAAGATGCGTTTTGGTCCATCGGATCACAAGTAGAAGAGAGAGACGCATACCCGTTTACACCTGGTGTTTAATCCATCTCTTTTGTCCACTTTCAACCACTTCTGTCCTGATTTTTTTGAGGGGAGGGTCTACATGTCTGTAAATATATGGGCTTTTTTGCAATTTTTGGGCAGATCTTTTGATCTAATGGACAAAAAAGGCTTGCGAATGGGTTTTCAACTACCTCTGGATTGTCTGGAAGTGTTCGAAAGTGGACAAGCTCAAAACATTTTAGACCTGTATTTAGTCCCGTCCACATCGACCAAAACGCATCTTAATACCAGGTGTAAACAGGGCGGAGACTGGGTCTAGTTTTTATAGTCACACTTTTTATTTCAATTTCTTAGTTTCTAAATAGAGACAAAACCCAAAGTCTTGACTACAATTGAACATGTTCACTATTATTGACCAGGAAAAGTACACTTCATTAAACAAGTTTAACCCAATGGCGGGCCATTTTGTCACAGTATGTATGGTAAATTGTTATACTATATGACAATTCCCCATGTGACAATTAGCGCCATCGCCAAAAAAACAAGAAATAGTACTGGTCCTCATGGCATCATTGAATTAGTAGTAAACTAGGATGCAATATCCATTATTACACTCTAAACTAGGTATACATTTTTCCATTTATTCAAATGTTTTTCATTTTGAGTAACAGAAGTTCATTTCAGCCTCATAATGAACTTCAGATCTAGGCTGATGAAGATCCCTGGGTGTTTTATCCCCTTTGGGACGTCTAAAGTTAAACTGTGCTGCCGTGTATAGAGGCCATATTTTGGATCAGCATCAGGCCTACTTCATCTAAAGTGTATCTTGATAAAGATAAAGTTAAATGTAACTGCGGGTGTTTATAAAGTACTGAAGCGGGTCACTAGTTCACATCTTGATGTCTTCAATAATCTTTGTTCTTTAGAGGTCCCTATTACAAAAGTAGCTTAAGGTTCGAAGGCAATTATAAAAACTAGGACGGTGAAGTATAGCAACCCTGATTTCTGTTAATATACAAAGTTAAGAAGTGGCACGTAACCCTGCCCAAGCCGCATTTACATTACATAGTTCAAGTGACCCAATTCAGATTTTTTTCCTCCAATTTGACCCACGAATGTGTAAAGTGGGATAAAAGCACATGGAATCCATTATTCTCAGATCAGAATAGTTTCAGACCTCATTCATTCGTGGAAATAAATCCGATATGAATCAGATACGTGCATTTGCATCTGCCATGTAAGCGGACAGATCGGATATTCCCTTCAATGCGAGTCGTACGTCATTGAGAAAGCGACGGTGGCAAATGACGTCACCTCAGGTGGACACCAACCACGATCACATGACTCTTTTTAATGCCGCAATGGAGGACAAAGGCTCAACCCAATGTTTTGCTGATCTTTAAAGCTTCTATTATCATTTCGTCTGGGTCAATTGCAAATCACGCCGTTTTTACTTCCTTTTCGGCCTACATTTTTCCGGGTCAGTACGTCTACCTTGGGTTGTTTTGCCAAGTGTATAGTGTAAATGCACATATCGGATACGAGTCACTTTTAAAAGATGTAAACTGGTCGTCAGAAACAAAAAAACAAAGTGTGTGTGTGTGTGTTTTGAAAAAAGTCTCACCAAGACAGCATGTATTTGATCAAAATACAGTAAAAACAGTAAACAATTTAAAATCACCGTTTTCTATTTGAATATATTTTAAAATGTAATTTATTCCTGTGATGCAAAGCTGATTTTTCAGCATCATTACTCACATGATCCTTCAGAAATCATTCTAATATGCCGATTTACTGCTCAATAAACATGTATTATTATTCATGTTGAAAACAGTTGCGCTGCTTCATATTTCTGTGGAAACCATGATGGATTTTTTCAAGATTCTTCAAAAGTTCAAAAGAACAGCATTTATTTGAAAATGATTCTTTTGTCTTAACCGTCACTATTGTTTGACATGGAATCACTTTTGATCAAGACAGAAAATATAGAGAACATCTGATTAACTACTTATTTGCATGCATAATTTTGAAACATTGCCAGGAGATTCAGTTAGAAGGGAGCCAGAACAAAAGGCTGTTCCACAGAAGCTTCTGGACTGTTTCCATTCGCTACAAAATATGATTAAAAAAGGAGAAGACAAAATGATCAGATGGATCTATATCCTGCCAGGACTAGAACCAAATGCAACCCATCCATTCAATCAGACACCAACAGGCGCAACACATGCTTGTCCAGTCAAAGTGCCCCATTATGCTTTTCCCAATACTGCCTTTCATGTAGTGTGCAATAACTGTATGTGAATGTAAAAGGTCTGCAAAATATCAAAGATCAAAGTGCACAATAAATGGAGTTATAGTCTATTAAAGAAAGAATTACTGAACGAGTCTGCAAAAATGTGAACGTCGTCATTTCCAAACTCGTATGAACAGCCCAGTTTGTAAACACATCATTCAGGCCAATTTTGTGAATATTCATATGATTTTAATGACAACTTCTTATCTGTTTTGCTGAAGAATACTTAGAATAAAGCACAGCAGTCGTTTTTAGCATTCGGAGCGGATTGAAGATTAAAGAGGCCAGGACATTTTTTTTAAACTTCACATTTGTTTGGAATAATCGCAGTGAGGGTGAGTGAATGATGAAGGAATCTTCATTTTTGTACAATCGATACCTTTGCCATCTAAACATGTTCATAAATGTTTGTGAACAGCTATGAAGCGTCAGTCTTCCTCGCTCTCACTTTTTTTAACTCGTGTCTCCTGAGGAAGAATCGCTGGCCTATCTCTGCTGCAGCGCAGTACAGAACAGCTCCTCGACCCACTTTGTTAAGACTAAAATTACAACACTAACGGGACGGGGAACTGGTCCAGGACAACACACACACACACACAGTCGTGCATCTGCACTCTCAGAGATCCAGAAAAAGACAAAACCTCTTTATCTCAAAAATGTACGTGCAACACAACTGAAGGCTAAAATCAATAGCGGACTTAGAAACATGCACATGACCACAGCGCAATTTACCCAGTGCATGCAGAGGCAATAAAACCACGTCCTGGTATCCAGAACATCAACTCACCCCAGTCCAGGTCACACACCGTTTACCATTTCCAGGACAGATTTATAGCCTTAAAACTTCATTTTATGAGCGCGCTCAGTGAGTGTGTAGGGCAAACATGTCTCCAGGTCACATTTGACCGCAAAATTAAAAGTTTACATAAAGTAAATGAAGCCCATTTTTTGGATCATTAAGATTGTTTTGCATCTGAACATTATTTTAATAAGCACATTTCCATATAAGCAGTTTCTCATTCCTGTAACATAAGATTTTTTTCTTATGTTACAGGACTTTTTTTTTAAAGTTTTAAAAAAATAATTAAAATAACAAGTTACAGATCTTCTGTATTTGTGTTAATTTTTTGTAACTTCCATTATTCTCATAAGATTCTCATTACTTTAACACATTTTTTTAATCCATTTTAATTTGTTTTTTAAAAGTATTTTATCATCATAATTATAATGTTTACAATTTTTACAATGACATTTTTTTTGCTTTTTTATTTATTTAAATGGCATAAATAAAAAAAGCACTGAAAAACTAAATATATTTCAAATTAAATGATTCTTCTAAAATGTAATTGCCTTGTAATCAGCCTTGTTGGCAGAGGCTATTTACACTAACCATCAAACGCCAGACAAAATTACAGAAGACGCTGGATTGTGAACAGTAGAAATAGTGTAGAGGTAAGGCGCTTGGCAGAAAGTATGGACGCAAATCGTTCCGAGTTCGGATCCGCCTTTTGTCGAACTCGCTCTACTACTTTTTCCCCATCACATATCAGATCGGAAAAGAATTAATTTTAATTAAATTAATTAATTAAAAGAAAATATTGAAATATAGTTTCTAACGAGTGTTTAATAATATAGTATTTATCAGGTAGGGTTAGGGTTAGGTAGAGAGGGCTTTATTGTCCCAATAAGTGGCATCCATTTAATGATTTCAATAAATATAAATATTATTGCATACCATTTAATGTACAACAACACTGGGGAGAAAATAGTATCTGCCACTATTTCTAAGTATAAATAGTAACAACTATTTACACTTATTGCAAAGAAGTATTTCACTTAGGCAAATAGTCACTGCCCTAATTAAATATATAAATATATAATTTCTTTCACATCACAGCAGTAAAAAAATTTTCATTAACATCATGAGAGCAAGAAAACTAATGTCACAATTCATAAAAAAAGCTTAAATAGACAAAAAATAAGCTTCATTTTTTTTTTAAGTAAAACCTAATGTCTTATTTTTTCATCTGATTTTGGCTTGAAAAATTACCCAGGCATGTTGTTGACAGGTTCATAATAATAATAATAATAATAATAATAATTCAATAATATTCAAAAGTCTCCATCACACAAACTAACACTTTAAAGTCACTTTAAACAGCTTCATCAGGATAAAGTAGCTCAGAAGGGTCTTTGCTACCAGTCAGCATCTGTGTGTGTGTGTGTGTGTGTGTGTGTGTGTGTGTGTGAGAAAGTCATACCATCTCAACCTGCCGTGGGTCCAGCTGGGTCGGTTCTGTTGCTTGGTCGGCGAACTGGATTTTCCTTCTTTCTTTGGGTTCCACGGGGCCCTCTGAGGGACTCGAGGGATCCATGATCTGCTTTCGTCCTCTGTCAGTCTCACAAATATCCCTGGAATCTACCTATGCCTGTCTCAACATACATATGCACACACACACGTGGCGTCCTCCAGACAGCTTTCTTCAATGCTCACGGTGTTGTCTCCTCTCTCCTTGACTGATAGTACTCTTCTCTGATTTGTCTCTCTGCTGAGCTTCTCAGATATGCCGGTGGCCTGTTTTTTGCCTTCTCTTATCAGTGACCTCTGGTTTTCTCCCTCTCAAAGTGTTTGGAGTCGGTGTGGGCGTCCTTATATCAGCCGTGGGGAGAGAGAGAGAGAGAGAGAGAGAGAGAGAGAGAGAGAGAGAGAGAGAGAGAGAGGCGGAGCTCAGAGAGAGGATGGTACACTTGCGTGTTTTAGGGGCGTGCTGACGTTGATTTCTAATCAGAAAAAAAAGATAATCTCATCCAGCTGGCTGAGCCTCTTTTGGCCTCTATTTGTGAATAGGAGATTAATAGAGAGAAAGAGAAATATAGAGAGAGGGCAATAATTCATGCCAGCTACCAATTTCAATGCATACTTCAGTTTTACACATCTGGATAGCTGTGTTGATGTTGAAAATAATCAGGAGTGACACTCATTTGAAGCTTAGTAAAACACCAAACACAACTACAGTGACCCCAACTTAAAGGGACAGTTCACCCAAAAATAAAAATCCTGTCATTATTTACTCACCCCTCATGTCGTTCCAAACCTGTATGACTTTCTCTCTTTCTTCAAGAAGATAAATAAATTTGTTTGACAATTTTACCTAATATGATGCCAATCAGATTTTTTAATTTTTTTTAAATGTAGCTTATGTCTCTAAATACTTTTTGGTGCCACGGTATGTATAAAATATATCTAAAACACAATATAAATAATATTTGGCCTGTTGTGAGTATAAATAATAGTTCTCAAATATTGCTGTAAAAATGTAAAACATACAATGGCACACTGCTAGCAGTTTTAAGTCAAAGATCAGGGGACATTCAGTGTTATTGTTAACTAAAACAGTTAAAAAATGTAATTGCTAACTGAAATAAAATATAAATATTAGACAGAAATCTTAAGGTTAAAAAAATGAAATTAATAAGCTTAACTTGTAACATTACTAAAACAAACTAAAATAAAAACAAAAGCTAATAAAAAAAAAATTCCAAAAGCGAAAACTTTAAAATTAAAATGAACTGAAATTCAAAATATAAACAAATACTATAATAGTCTATAAATAGCACTAAAATAAGTTAACACAGGGCATCAAGCGTCAGAAGCAACACATGAATGATTTGTGATGTAGATGCACACCCTGGGCCAGCTGCACAAACACAGACATTAAAGGTGCAGTAAGCAATTTCTGAGAAACGCTGTTGAAAGTGGATCGGACTGAGCAGCACAACACACTTGTAGCCAATCAGCAGCAGGGGGCGTGTCCACACTGTCCAGTCATGATGGGGGAGAAGAGAGAGTGAGCAAGAGGGAGATTTAAAGACTGTAGAAAGAGAGATAGCGGAGAGACATTACAAAAGAATTTCACTGGAAAAGAAGGGTAATGATCAGGCAAGAGCTTTAGGACTAACGTTAATATTAGAAAAGCTTTCCAGCGCTGGAGAGACCTGAGCGGGAAGGCCTAAAAACGGATGCACACTCAGAGGTTGCATTGTTTCTGCTCCATACGTGAGTAGGGCTGCAACGATTAGTCGACGTTGTCGACAACGTCGACAATAAATATTTGTCGACAAATATCTTTGTTGTCGAGTAGTCGTTTGATCTCACGTGACCTAATGTAAGGGCCTGCAATCCCGCGATTTGACCGCTACGGCGCTGTAGCGCTAGAGTGCAGTGCAGCCCTTACAAATGCTATTGCGGTAGAAGAAAACACAGCGCGAATTATGACAGTGCAAACGAATCCGAACTAGCAAGGTTTAGGTTTGGGAAAGTTTGACAAAACTTCAAATCAAGAATGCTGTCGTGTGCAATACATGCAAGGCGGAACTTGCTTTTCACGGGAGCACAACATGCATGTGTGCAAGAGGAAACATCCCGGCACAAGAGGAGCCGGTGAGAAGTGAGTGTTCTCCAGCTGGAGCTTACTAACCAGCGGTAAATTTCTCTTTATTAGAGAATGCAATACTACTAATAATAGTAATACTATTATCAATAGTAATATAATTACAGTAATGTGATGACTTATTTTGCATAGAATAAAGCTTGATCGAGCTTAGGAGTCAGGGCTGTTTTTATTATTGTAACACTATTAGTATATTAGGTATTATTATAGTCTTTTCACTTGCCTGTATTTTGTTCAATAATCATGAAGACTTGCAAAACGAGATGTTATATCCTTCCTATGATATAGGAAGAATATCATGGCAGTTACTTTATCATACTATATATTAAAAGGTGAATGAGAACGTCTCTGTCAGCTCAATTGTCATGTAAAAAAAGATTGTAATTTTATACTTATAATAATTGTTTGCAGATTAATATTTTACCATTCTTTGTGTCCTGAAGTAAATGTCCCTTTTTCTGTTTCAGTTCTAAGAAAAGCAGTGGGCCTATTAAACAATGCTTAGAGAGCATTTGTGTGTGATTTGAGTTGGACTGAAATCTGAAAACTTAAAGGGACACTCCACCCATTTGCATTAAGAGGTCCATTGTTAGACAACCAGTCATACTATTGAATGGTCGTGCAACATTCTTTCATTTTCCCCTGAGACGAGAGAAATCTACTATTTACCTTTTTCACTTCCTCCTACAATGACGCAAAAATCGTCATTTGACGTCATTGTAGGAGGAAGTGTAAAAAGGGGGGATTTCTGTATAGACTACAAGCACAAATTCCCACCCTTTCAAACCCGCCCATAGGGGGTTGGACCTAATGCGCTAACAGAGCTATCACAGATCAGTGGGTGGGACTTCACTTGCAGATACTGAAAGCAATATCAGCCATCTTGTTTATAAGCTAAGCTAACAAGCGCTGTGGATATAGGAAGTTACGACAATGACGGAAGAAACTAAACATGATATGGAAGAAGAGGATTTTGAAATTCTGCTGCTCGAATCCGCTGTTCGTGGCTATCTTTACGAGCCGCAATATAGTGAAGAGCAGCTGAGGCTGATGGTGGAACAGGAGGCGGCTGCCTGTCGCGGACGAGGAGCCCGGGCTGGCTTGAGCTGGGCGGACTGCTGGTGCGTGTGCTCTCGCTGTGCGCTACGGACACAGATAGAGTCCGTCTGCTGCAGAGAATTTCAACAAGGCAGTTTCTCCTGGACGAAATCTCTGAATCAGACGACCACACGGACGTTTGTGTTGTGATGTGAACCATCCTAGTTTCGCCTGACTGAACATGCAGGTATCATGCAATAATTCACCATATAGAAAGAAATACAAACGAGTAATTCACTAATGAGTTTGCCAATGTAACGGGGTTCGTTGTTGTGGGAAGAAGGAGGCTGGAACCGGCGAACATTTAAACGTTTTAATAGTAAAATAAACAAATACAAAACAAAAGTATAAGCCAGCTGGCCACACACAACAGAAACAAAACATAAAATCAGGCCTGTTCCTTTTGTGCTTCCGCTCCTCCGTGAGAGATATGAGACCGCTGCACAGGTGCCATTCATTATCACTCGCGTCGTCCTCTCACGTCCCTCGCCCTCGTCCTGCTCGCCACAACTAACTAGACATTTTTTGTGAAATGAATTTTAAACTCATTTGGCAGCTAGCCTTCTTGTAGACGGAAGAGCGATTTCTCTGATGTTTGCGCTGTTCTGGATTAGTGGGAGTGGCTTGCGGAGCTGTGCAACATGGTGCATTGTGGGAGTTGTTGTCTTACATACAAATGCGCCCCAAAGTTATTTTCTGTCTTTTCTCGGTCAAGAGGGCACCAAATTTAAAATTTCTTTTACATTTCGACTACATATATAACCCACTTTCAATAAAGATTAATGTTGAAATGGGTGGAGTGACCCTTTAAAGAGAATGACCTGTTTAGTTGGCTCAAAGTTCATTAAAACAACTATTTCAAAAGCTGAAGTGATTTTCTTTTTTATATTATAGTTAGAATATGTATAACTCAATGTTTTAACTAATTGGAAAAGCTGAATAATCGTTCCAAACTTACTGATTAGTCTGCGGAATAATCGACGATTAGTCGATTAATCGTTCTATTAATCGTTAGATTAATCGATTATCAAAATAATCGTTTGTTGCAGCCCTATACGTGAGTAACATTAGTTATGCTGTTTCACAGAACCAAGATATGCTGTTATTGTAATGTTAGCTATAGTAACAGGACAGTTTCGAGTGGCATTGTTTGTCTGGAGTTTCTGACGACTAACAACAAACTCTTGCTTGTATGTGTACTGTATGCTCTTTTTTGTTTTTCCTTGTGGTTCATTCAACATCTTCGCTTTATTTTTCACAAAGCATTATTTCGATGTGATAAAGAGACATCCACTCTTGCATTGTGTGTTTGTGTATTTAGGGGGCGGAGCAATGAAGGGAGGGGTGTGTTTGTGTGGGTTGATTTCAAATATCAACAGTGTAATCGCTTACTGCACCTTTAAGACTGTGTTTTAACAACTAGTACAACCAACTAGCAGTTAGCCAGTCTTAATAAAAAGTTAAATTTGACAAATCTACATTTTTATGTAACTGACTTCTTAAAGAAGAAGAAAATAGAGGACTAACTTGTGAGACTAGTCTGAGCAGTTTATACAGCCTGTCCCTGAAGTATTTCTGTTCAAAATAATAATTGCAAAAACAACCCATTGCAAGTCATATTCCCAAAAGTTATACAAACCGTCCTGCAGAAGATCTTCTCCTCACAATGCAATGACAAGCAGGTCCACCGCTCAGAAACTCACTAGCGACACCTAGTGGATAAAAACACGGTTTACTTTAGAGTACAACTACATAAACATAAACCTAACCTTATTTAGTGCTCAGACACTGATCAAATAAATTTAAAGCTCATCTGGTTTATCTCAGCATTTAAGAGTTGAAATTTACTTGGAGCACCAAAAATAGTGAGTAAAAATGGCTTTATCCAAACTGCAAACTTTAGACCTACATCTAATCTCTCTTTACTGAGAACAAAAGATAAAAGTGAAACTGCTACAACATTTCAGATACATAAGACAAACACTTAAACATGAACAAAAGCTTCAAAAGGATTCGGTTTGAGATTTCTGCTACAATTAAAA